CCCCAGCTGGGCCCTGAAAGCAGCAGGAAGTGGGGACCAATACAGGGGCACCCCAGGAGCAAAGGGGAGGGGGCGCAGCTAGGAGAGACCACCCCTCAGGCCCAGTCCTGCCCCAGACTGTCACCTGGTACCACGGCTGGGTGCCAAGCTCGCCTCGCCTCTGCGTGAAGCCCCACCCCCGGCCCACACCTCCTCCCGCACCTACACAGGTCTCCTGCATCTGCACTGTCTGGTTGGAGCGTCCCACCGTGGCTCTCTTCCCTTCCCACATCATGGCCTCCTCTCCCTGATGCCCAGGCTGAGCTGTGTGGCTCCTCTGTCCTTGTTGCCCCCTGTGCAGGGCTGCAGCAGCTCCAGGAGGCCAGGCGCTGTCAGAGGGCAGGGCGTGTCTGAGCCCCTCTGCCCTGCCCCGCCCCAGCCTGAGCTGACTCAAGGACCGGCCGTCCACCACCTACTTCTGCTCTGCCTTCTCGCCTCCAGGCATGGCGCCCCTGCTTGCCCTGTTCCTGGTGGCCCTGGTGGGCCTACCTGTGGGTGAGCTGGATGGAGGAGGGGATACTGATAGACTGTTTGGGGGCAGGCAGGTTGAAAGCGGGGAGGAAAGCCCAGAGCTCCCAATGGCCCCCTCCTGCACTGTTCTGCCCTTGAGGGGATGGCACCTGGTCTGACAGGCTGGAGGAGGGGTCTCTCCCTGTACTCTGACCCCGTTCCCCTTCTGCCCACCCCATGGCTCCTAGCCCAGGCTCTGGACTGCCACGTGTGTGCCTACAATGGAGAGAACTGTTTCAACCCCATGCGCTGCCCAGCCACGGTCACCTACTGCATGACCACACGCACCTGTGAGTCCATGGGGTGCCCCCAACAGCCTTTACTGAGGAGCATGTGGGGGCACTCTTCCCTGCCCATTGGGGGACAAGAGGGAGGCTCCCATCTGCCCCCAGGAGTCTTTCTGGTTGAGGGGACCCTGCTGGAGGGCATGTGGGGGTTGGGCCAACCCCTGGTCCAGCCCCTCTCAGGGTCCTGGCCCCCCTGCAGACTACACCCCGACCAGGATGAAGGTGAGCAAGTCATGTGTGCCCAGCTGCTTCGAGACGGTGTATGACGGCTACTCCAAGCACGCGTCCACCACATCCTGCTGCCAGTATGACCTCTGTAATGGTGCGGGCCTCTCCATGCTGGGGACCCTGACCCTGGTCCCCATACTTCTGGCTACCCTCTGGGGTCTGCTCTAAGGCCCCACCCACCCACTCAAGGACAAAGCTCTGAGAGGCACAACCCCCACCTGACCCCCTGTTCCCTTGAGATTCCCAAAGCCACACCGAGGACCGTCTGCGAGACTGAACCTCCCCAGCTAACAGGGCCTTTGCTCCCAGGCCAAGATCTTTCATTTTCAAGAGACTGGTGTGTGGCTGCACCTCCCAGAAGTGTCTGGCCTTGATGGGAGAGGTTGGCCTCTCCTCTGTCCATAGATGGGGCCATCTGGGAAAGTGTGGTGTTCATGCGGGGTCCTCAGGCAGTGAAAGAACATGGATCTGAAGGGAGCCTTGGCCCACTTCTGCAAGCCCTGGGAGCAGGGCCCTGCTCCAGTCTGCCCAGTGGGTGTGCTGCAGGGTAAAGGGAGGGTAGGGACCCATGAAGGTGCAGGTAGCCCTGGGAAGGGCTCTCCGGGGCGCTAGGAAGGCTCTCTTTGAGCCTCTGGTTATGGCCAGGAGCTGCCCAGGGCAGGTGGCAAAGAGGGCCCGGTTAGGAAGGTCTTTGTCCCTTCAGCTGTCCAGGGAGCAGTGCCAGGCCCATGTGTCCAGGCAGCCCTTGGCGGGGGAGAGAGGTCTCTTGGCCTAAAGAGGCTCCCAAGGCCTCTCCAGCTGGTTCAGGTCCTGGGAGGGGTCCTTTCTTTCCCCCTTTGCCAAATCCTTTACCTCCCCCAGCCTGCTTTCTCCCCACCCCCCACTGGCTCTGGGCTGGGGTGCAGGGCCTGAGGCAGCTGGCAGGCATGTGGGCGCCCGGTAGGCAGGCTGGCTATATTTGGTGGTGCCTGAACGCTGACTCCAGGGCTATTTTGGGCTGGGAAGGAAGGGAGCTGAGCGGTGGGCTGCCTCGGTCCTGGTCTTCAGCCCCAATAGGGCCTGGCGGTGGAGCTCGGCCCTTTATGGAGGGAGGCAAGCTGCAGCTCGGTGCCCTAGGGGCTGCACCCATCCAAGTCAGAAGCAGGGTGGGTGGGGGGCTCTATCCTTAAGCCAGAGCCAGAGCCGGTACCCCTCGTGGACACTAGGGACTGCGTTGGCCCACAGGAGGGCAAGGGGAGGCAGAGTCAGGGATAGAGGAGGAGGAGAGGGAAGAGGGTCCTGGGGCAGAGTAGTTGTGGGTAGAGGAAGCCAGATCCACCCTGAGCTCTCATACCCAAAGGACCCTCAGGGGTGGGCATCCTTGGGGAAGTGATTGGACTCCCCTACAGAGCCGGGTTGGGGCCAGTGCAGGCCCTGGCTGGGAGGGAGAGCAGAGGTCAGCACACCTGGGCCTCCAGCCCCAGCTGCCCATGACCTTCAACTCTGGGAAGCAATCATTATACCCTGCTTATATGAGTTCTGTGTTCTGAGTCAGGTGGCATCCTAGGCCAGAGCTGGCAGGAGCCACTGCACCAGGTACTCCCTCCCTCCCACTAGGTGGTGATGGGTTAGAGCTCTGCCTGGCTGCCAGTGGGCTGGGGCCTGGAGCACAGGAAGCCCGGATGGATAGGGAGTTGGGGGTGTGGATGGGGTTGCTTCTCTTCTGTCCCACTTCCAAGGTCTGGGCACTTCTCTGCCCCTGCTGGTGGCTCATGCATGGGAACTGCCCTCAGGCCATAGCCCCTGGCTTGCTCATGTTGCGCGCCTCAGAGGAGCCCCATCAGAGTAATGACGATTCATTACTCATCAAATGAATAAATAGGTGAATAAACCTGTCTGTCCTTCTTTGTCCCCGCCAGCCACCTCAGTCTGCACTCAGCTCTGCCTTTCCAGGCTGGTCGGGCTAGTCTTGGTGGCTCTGTCAGTCCTGAACTGTGTCCACCCTACCTTGCCCAATCTGGACCTCAGAGCCAGCCCTGGCATGGGGCCAGGGGACAGCCATGGGCAGGGAAGAAGCAGGAGAGATAGGAGGCTCCTGAGGCTCATTGGGAGTACCTCGTCCCTCTGAGAGGAGTCCCTGGGGAAGGCTGAGGCAGGCCAGACCCAGGGAAGCCATCCCACCAGCCAAGCTCCTGGCTCCTGACCTGCCTCTGTCTCTCTGCCCAGGAGCAGGGTCTGACTGAGTCCACCCAGCTCCCAGCCCCAAGGACCCCACCAGACAGAGGGGTGGACAAAAGCCACTTGGGCAATCAGAGCAGACACACAGGGGCCCTGGGATGGCAGAGCTGGTCCCCCGAGGGCAGTCACCTGCTCTGATCCTGCAGTGCCCCAGCCCCTGCCAGCTCTGGGTGGATCACTTCTCCTGCATCTGGCTCTGGCTTTCATTATCCTAGAGCTCCTTTTAGTACTAAGGGCCTTTCTGTTACCCCTGCCCCTGGGAAAGCACCCAGTAGTCCTGGGCCCCAGAGTATGATTACAGTGGTAACCATGACCCCTCGGCCCTCCCAGCAAGGCAGGCAGGTCCCAGCCCCTTCTCAGGGAAGGCCCATTTGTCAGGCAGGATGGCTGAGGGCACATGGGGGCTCTTCAGAGGGCAGCTGGTCATCTGACTGACTCTCGGGGTGTCCTGGAGAAGGTTTCCAGTTCTACCCAGCACTAAGCTTCCTTTGCATGTTTAGGAGTGAGAGGTGGTGTGGATAAAATGAGGGTTCCTGTGGCCAGGATTCTCACCTGGCCCTGGTTGACTAGCTCACTGCACACCTGTGGGCAATCTGACTCTGTATAAAGAGCTCCACCCAGTGCTCTGGGCGTGACACGGTGGCACGGCTGCAAGACTGCAGGAGAGCAGGGCAGAGGCTGGAGTGGTGGCAGCACCGAGGACAGAGGCCCAGAGGACAGCTGTGCAGGACGGCTGTGCAGAGAGGCCCGGAGGATGACTGTGTGTACAGAGGGGCCCAGAGGACGGCTGTGCAGACAGAGGGGCCCAGAGGCAGAGACAGGCTTGCTGCATGCACTCACTCTGAGTGAACGGGATTCTAGTGACTGACCTGCCACCTGGAAATAAAGTTGGGGATAACCCTTTCACCCCCAAGAACGTTTTGCTGTCAATTTCTTTGGTCACATTGAATCCATAGCGAACTTGCCTGGGGCTGAAACCCATTGGCAAGACAGGTGGGTTCATCTGAGGGAGACCAGAGGCTCTGTGCTGAGGGTCTACCCTGAGCGAGCCTACCTTCTGTGATCCCCAGTCCTACAACCTGAGATTGATTATCCCACCTGATGGGCAGGGAACAAGCTTATGGGATTAAACTAGCCTCACCTGAGGGCTCACAGCCATCAAGCCTTGGGAGCCAGCTGGACCCCAGTGCTGCCCAGGCCCCAGCCCAGCTTCTTGGCTGATCTGACCACAGGGTGACTCAGACTGTGGATGGGGCTGGGCGGGAGCAGCAGCAGGTTTAAGAGGCAGCTTGGGCTCCCTGGGAGCCTCACCTCTTCTCAGAAGAACATGCAGTGGCTCCTCGGACTCCTGCTGGCTGCTGCCTTGAACCTGGAGCTGGGTGAGTCCAGCGCCTCCTTCCCTGTCCTCTATCACTGCTCTAAGCCCATCCCTCCAGTCTTGGCCACCACTGAGCCCTGGGCTGTGACTCTTGTCTTGCCAATGGGTTGCAAGTTCACTATGGATTCAATGTGACCAAAGAAAATGACAGTAAAATGTTCTTGGGGTGAAAGGGTTTATTACCCGGCTTGTTCTCCCAGCAGTAGGTTGAACACTAGTGTCTCTGCCTCCACCCAGAGTATTGGGCCGAGCTCTCTATATAGTGCAATAATAGCTTATTGCCTACAGATGTTAAGAGGCAGCTTGGGCTCCCTGGGAGCCTCACCTCTTCTCAGAAGAACATGCAGTGGCTCCTCGGACTCCTGCTGGCTGCTGCCTTGAACCTGGAGCTGGGTGAGTCCAGCGCCTCCTTCCCTGTCCTCTATCACTGCTCTAAGCCCATCCCTCCAGTCTTGGCCACCACTGAGCCCTGGGCTGTGACTCTTGTCTTGCCAATGGGTTGCAAGTTCACTATGGATTCAATGTGACCAAAGAAAATGACAGTAAAATGTTCTTGGGGTGAAAGGGTTTATTACCCGGCTTGTTCTCCCAGCAGTAGGTTGAACACTAGTGTCTCTGCCTCCACCCAGAGTATTGGGCCGAGCTCTCTATATAGTGCAATAATAGCTTATTGCCTACAGATGTGGAAGCAGTAGCCTAGCAACAGGGCCAGTTACGTCATCAAGTGGTTTAAGTTCAGTGAGGATCTTGGCCATAGGAACCCCAACTTCCCCACACTCCACCCCTCCAGGACTCTCACTTTACAATCTACACACTGTCAATCTTCTGCAGTGGTCCCTGTGTGAGAAAGCTGGAGCACTGTAACCAGATTCCACAACAGCAACAGAGATTAACAAAAATTTAGAGATAATTAGGAAAATTAACATACAACAAGATTTTGATACAGGTAACAAAAAGTATAATAATCCTTAAGGCAGAGGAGGTCCCTAATCCACAAAGACCTTAGGAGTGATAAAACACATTTTAATGACACCAACATAGGCAAATCTTGTCCATCAGGTAGGATGCATGCAAGAGAGTGGTCCTGGGATAGGACTATAGCAGGAAGGGGGTCCCTTCCAGGTCTAGCGTACCATACTTTTACTCCTTTCCCTGTGGGGGTTACTGAAGGGTCTATATATAGTGCTACTGGAGGTGCTTGTACTGGCCATAATGATGAAACAAAACTCCCTGGTAAGATGCTCCTACCTTCCTTCTGGCCATTCAGGATATACTACTGTGACCTTTGGGGGCCACTCTGCTATTATTCCAGGAATACACAGGAGGCCAACTTCCAGGACTTGTCCCCAAGGTGCCAGGAGAGCCAGGCATCGTTGGTCCATGTGTCAAAAGGTCAAAGGCCATGTCCACTCAATGGAGTCTCCGGGGTTCAGTGCAGTTGGTGCTGGCAGCAAGATGTTATTCTGGTGGCCGAACCTCGGCTTCAGTGATTCTGCCTTGGTTTGTACTTGCAGTTCTACAGGGGAGGCAGCCACATGTGTTAACATGTCTGTGGGGCTCAGGGCTCCCTTTCGGGGTCTCTTGTTCAAACACGATAGCATGGTCCATAAGTGGACTGACCATCCCTGCAGACTATTGGTATCTGACTTTAGTCCGGATTTTAACAAGCCATTGTGCCTCTCTCTCATGCCTGCTGTGGTAGGATTGTATGGCACATGAAACTTCCATTGGATTCCCAGATGTTGCACCCATTCTTGCAGTGTATGTCCAGTAAAATGGGTGCCCTGATCACTCTCAATTACCTGTGGTCGGCCATAGGTGGCAAAGAGACACTCCAGGCCTCTTTTGGTCATCTGCTGGTCTGCACAATGGGTAAGAAGAGCAACCAGAAGTCCAGTAGCTGTGTCCACACAAGTCATGGCATACCGATATCCTCTGACACAGGTAGAGGCCCAATATAGTCTATCTGCCATCTGACGAGGGGTATAGGCCCCTTAGCTATTGTCCCATGTTGCCATGGAACTCAGTGTAAGTCCCTTTTAGAGCATATGACACACCCTTGTCGAGCTCTCCTAACTTCCTCAAAGGCCAAAGCCAAGCCCCACCGACGGGCTACAGCCCACATTGTCTTTTGCCCTGCATGCAACAAGCACTGATGTAACCATTGGGCTACATGAGAGACAGGCTTTCCTTCTAACCAACACATCTGGGCCAATTTATCGGCTTCATCATTTCCTGGGGATGCCAGTGGCAAATGACCCGTCACATGGTATACTGTAATTATTTGAGTCTGGCCACAGGCCCATAAGTCTTGCCACAATTGTTGCCCCCAAAGGGGTTGGCGACCAACCAGCCAGTTGGCATGGTAACAGGTTGGTAGCCACAGGGTCAAGCCCTGATAGACAGCCCAGCTGTCAGTGCAGACAACTATAGGGGAGGGTCCTGGCTGATCAGAAGCCACACAGCCCACAGCTCTGCCCATTGGCTGCTCTTCCCCTCACCATCTTCCATCTATATTGTCTCAGTCTTAGGATGGAAAGCCATGGCCCTCCACTTTGGGGGCTGCCCACGGCTGGAGCCATCTGTGGACCATGCATCTTCAGGTATAGGGGCTCTTCCCTCCCAATAGGGACTCTCTGCTGCTAATGGTTCAAAAGCAAGTTCTTCCTGCTTTCCACTGGTGTATGTCACCGGCCCCAATAAGCGTTGGAGCTCTTCACTCAAGGGGCTACTAGAGAGGGCAGTACGCTGCTGCAGGTAAGCACCCCACTTGGCCAGTGTGGGCATTTGTGCCACACCACTCCCTGGCTTTTGGGTCCAATCTCATACCCAACCCAAGATGGGATAGGTGGTTATTACCTTTATTGGGGCCATTCCAGTGACGGGTTCTGTAGCCAGCAAGGCGTGATACAAAGCAGCCAGTTGTTTTTCTATCAAAGTGTGTCATACCTCTGCCCCTTTCCAGAGTTGTGACCAGAATCCAACGGGTTGGCAAGTTCGTTCAAGCCGCTGCCAGAGACCCCAGCCATAACCATCTTCAGTGACATGAACATTCAGCTCACAGGGCCTTGATGGGTCTGTCACACTCAAGGCCTGCACGGCCCTGACTGCCCATTTTGCTGTAATTAAAGGCAGATGCACATGGCTCATCCCAGTCCCACCTGATGCTCTTTCATACCAACCGGTATATGAGCTTCAGAATTTGTGCCAACTGCAGGATAAACACTCTCCAGTAGCCTAGAAGACCCCAAAACTCCTGTAGCAATGCTACAGTTGTAGGGGTAGGAAAGGCCTGGGCTTTGTCTATAACTGCTTCTGTTATAACTTTGGTCTTACCCGAACAGACGACCCCCAAGAATTTTACAGACAAACCAGGTCCCTGAACCTTGGTGCTGTTCACAGCCCATCCTTTCTCCTGTAGATGTTGCAGCAGTCTAGGTGCTGGACCTTCTAGATCTGAAAGAGAATCAGAGGTGAGCCTGAAATCATCAATATAATGGTACAGCCGCACAGTTGGTGGTTTCTCCCATGTAGCCAAGTCCTGGGCTACAAGTCCATGACAGATGGTGGGGCTGTGGAGGTGTCCCTGTGGGAGGATGGTGAAAGTCCACTGCCGTCCTTCCCGCGTGAAGGCAAATCGTTCCTGACTTTCCTGCTCAATGTCAATGGAAAAGAAGGCATTAGCAAGATCTACCACAGGGTTGGGCACCACCGGCCGGGCCCCAAGTCCACAAGACTGGAGGAACCAGAGAACTAGAGGGTGGGAGGGAGTTTGATGCAAGAAACAGCAGGGGAGGAAGAGGACAGAAAGGAACAGACACAGAAAGGGACACAGGGACAGGCAGGCAGAGCCGGCAGGGCAGAGTGGCTATGGGGCATGGTGCCCTGCCTGTGGCTGGAGGGCAGGGCTGATGGGCAGATCTTTATACAATGAGCTTAGTATTTCAAAAAACACTGAGGTTGTTCTCACAGGAAAAAAAACAAAACAGAAGCTTGCTAGCCTCCCAGAGCCACCCTCCTGGCTCAAGGGTTTCTGTTCCCATGTTTCCCTCCCTGCTGAGGCTCCTCACTCAGCCGCCAGAACTAAGGCCCCTGTGCATCTCAGGACCCCCAGAGGCATGTGGGCATGGCCAGGTCTTGGGGAGCCTCCCACTTCCCCCATCACAAGCTCACCCGAATGCCCTCTGGGTGAGGCCCAGAGCCCAGGCCCCTGCCTCTCTGCTCCGCGGGTGTGGAACCCCATCCTGCCCCACCTGGCCCAGGGCCTACCTGGGCGAAGGGATTCAGACAAGCCAGCTCCTGCCCCTGCAGTGACGTGCTGCGCCCGGGGTGGGTCACCTATATTCTGAGCAGTCCCACAGGACATCCTGAGAGAGAGGATGGCGGAGTCCAGTGTCAGGACCTCACCTGGCCCTTGGCTGAGACTTGGTGCATGGTGACCTTCTCAATCCCATATCTTGGGGGACCTGGAGCAGTCAGGCACTTCGAGATGAGGGACTAGGGCCCCTGAGAATGGGAGTGGGTGCACAGTGATGCAGGAGGTGCTGCAGCTGTGCCCTGTGTCATCCTTCTGTCCCTCTGCCTTGGCTACAGCCCAAGCCTTGCAGTGCCACCAGGGCGAGGGCTTCAGAGGGTGCTTCCACAAGTCCATGTGCCTGCCAGGCTCCAGCCACTGTGTCACCATCACCACCTGTGAGTCAGGGACATGCAGGGTGGGCTGGCCAGCGGAGGAGACCCTGGCTTGGAGGGGCCAGAGCCTGATCCAGACACCCAGCAAGTCAGGAGCAGAGCAGGGACAGTGCCCGCCCCTTGGTCCGGGAGAGTGCCTGAGCAAGGGGCTGGGGGGCGGGCCTCGGCTTGGCGGCTGGGGGCGGGGGATGCAGGCAGCTCAAAGCCTCAGGGAACCTGCAGAGCTTTTCTCCTGTCCACCCCAGAAGTCCACTCCAGCTTCAAGGACCTGTCTCTGGTCACCAAGATGTGCTACAGTGGCTGCCCTGACATCTCCACCCTGGGCCTGGGCCCCAGTACGTCCATCGCCTGCTGCCAGGCCAGCCTCTGCAGCCATGACTGACTGCCTCCTCCACTCCCAGCTGGTCACACTGCCCTGCCTCCCAGAGCCCACAGACCAGCCCTGGACCTCAGGCAGCCTCTGCTCCTGCTGCTCAGAAGGCAGCTGTGCTGGGGCCCTGGGGCTGGGGGCCCACAAGGAGCACCCTAACCCAGGGCAGGGGTCAGGCGGCTGGAGACTTAGGGGCTGCGCAGGAGTGGATCAGAGGAAGGGGACAGGCCCTGGGCAGAGGGAGGGGCCTTTGGGGCATAAGGAGATGGGAGGGCGGCGTGAAGGTGAGCAGACAGGTGAGAGGGTGAGCCTGGAGGCAGCCCCCCACCACATGCAAACACACGCGTACACACGCACATCAGCAAACACTTAGTTGTGGCTCCAGAGAGCCTCGGGCTGCAAGGTGGAGCAGGACCCCAGCAAGGGAGAGCACGCTTCTTCCCCAAGCACGCCGCCTGGCCCTCTCCTTGGCCTTTCTTATTCTCACCTTGGGAACATTCTCATGGAAGAAAACATGAAAAAGACAATGCAATCAGAGAGGTGCCCACCCAGGAGTGTGCTGTCCCAGCAGAGAATGACCCAGCAGGAGTGGCAGGGAGGGTCCTCGCAGGGGGCGGGGAGGCTGGGGAGGCCCCAGTAGGCCCCCATGGAGCCAGGGCTGCTGACGGCGGCTCCTCACACTGGCAGGGTACACGGAGCCCTGGGAGCGGGCTCGGGGACCACCCCAGGAGATCACAAAGTCGGCTCCCACCTTCCCTCTTGTTGCATGGAGAGGCATTCAAATTGAATCAAAGATTTAGATCCAAAAAGAGATTTTTTAAATGACAGTTCAGATAGAAAAGAAAGACACATTCTTCAAATAATTGAAACAGTTACCAGATTTTGTCGTAGATGTACCCGAGAGTCAGGACACACGATGTTCACACACTTATTCATGGGTGTCCACAGCCCCACTTTTCATAATAGTCAAAACATGGAAACCATCTAGATGCCCATGAATGAATAAGCTGTGGTCCACCCAAAGCACAGGGTGCCACCCAGCCATGAAAAGGAGCGAAGCCCCAACATGCTTCCACAGGCATGAGGCTGGAAAGCGTGACGCTCAGCGCAAAGAGCCAGGCATGATGACCACATCCTGTGCGCCTCCATGTGTGCAGGGTGCCCAGAGCCGGCAAACCCGCAGAGACAGGAGGTAGGTTAGAGGCAGCAGGGGGCTGGGGTGACAGCCTAAGAGCAGGGGCCTTCCTTTCTGTCCCTGAAACCCAGTGGTGAGGGTGTACGCCTCTGTGGAATCGTACGGCACGTGCGGGACATCAAGAAAGCTGTTACAAACTAAAAAGAAAAAAAGAAGAGCAATTTTTAAAAAGGAAAACAAGACACAAAATCCAGACTGAGAAATATTCATGACTGCATGAAAATGTAAAAGAAGTATGTGAAAAATACTATAAACCAAACTAAAAAATGGAAGGCAAAGTAGAAAATATTTGCCATACATATGAGAAAGGGATGATTCTTTTCCTATATAAAGAATGTTTACAAATCCACGAGCAGGGGCCGGGAGACCCGAGGAGCATAGCTCACTCAGAGCCAGAGGGAAGGCACGATGTTCCCATCCATAAGCAGCCACTAGGCCACGGGGCCAAAGGGCAGGGGCCTGCCCTCGGTGCCTGCTGGGAGACGAGCCGCCTGGGGACAAAGTGGCATCATCTGTGAGACTCTAAGACGCCCCCAGAGTTGTGTTGAAGGCTGGCTCCTCAAAATGTCACAGGTGTCCCTGAGAGAGGGCCCCTGGACACACAGCCACGGCCTCCCCACTCCTGGGGCTTGAGAATCTGGTTTAAAGCAGGTCTCCCGAGGGAGGACTTGGTGAGACCTGGGTAAGGACCCTGGTAAAATAGTTGAGGATTTTGAGGCAGGGGTTCTGGGTCTTGGACTGCAAGCTGTCATTTTATGGTTTCTGTTGAAGGGTCAATGGGTCTTTAGGGAAATTCCTGCGATGAATGGGATCTTCTGGAAATCTGGAGGGGCTAAGTGTGGTGATGGAAACTGGGGAAGCCCCCATCTCATGTGCACTGAGCTCAGAGACACACAGGGAGGAGGAGGGAGCGGAAAGGTCACGGCTGAACGGTGTGAATGTGCTCACTGCACCAAGTGCTCATCAGACTGTGAGCAGCCTAGATGCTGGCTGGCACAGAAGGGGCACTACATTAGGGCACGTCCAGATTGGACCCCTTCAGGAAGGACACAGAAGAAATGGGCTACGGTGGCTGCCTAGGGACACTTTCACACAGTTCGGGCACTTTGATCACAACATATAAACACAGACTTAAAAGCTACCACTCTGCACTGCCACACACCACACAGTGGCATGGGTGAGCGGGAGGCTGGGCAGGGACATTCCTGGCTTTTCTGGGGGGTTTGAAGAGACAGGCAGGCTGGGGAGGAGGCCATGCCTGACATACGGAACCAAAGTAGCAGAGCTCTGACCCTGGTCACATGCTGACCTTGGCCCTGGTCACACCTTGACCCTGGCCACATGCTGATCCTGACCTGGATGCCCCTATAGGAAATGAGGGTGTAGGCCTCTCAGCAGGGAGGCTCCTAGCCCAACCCAGGCCCTGGCTGGGCCACCTTCCTCCTGCCCTAAGTGGAGCTGCAACTTAGCAGAGAGGCTGGGCCTGGGGCACCTGGTGGGCTCAGGCAGAAACCCTAGGAGGAGCGAGTGCCTGGGGCCAGCCAGCTGTGTGTTGGAATGGAAAGCATGTGGGGCCCTGGGTCTGAGGACAGAAGGATCTGGGCTGATCTGGGGCAGGCAAAGGAACTGGGCTAGGCCCGCAAGGAGCCTGAGCGTGTGCTAGGTGTCTAATCCAGTTAGTGCATCCAGCACCATGCAGGGTTACAGGGTGGCGGCCGGTGAAGTGCAAAATCAGACAGGCCCGCTGTTGCCCCGCTTTCACCCAGCCCTTGCTAGGTGGCCAGCTGCCAGGTGTCTCTACCTGCAACCAAACACAGTGGGCAGTGTGTCCCTCCAGAGCCGTGGTGAGGACAGCGAGAGCCAGGAGCAGAGCGTGTGACGCACGCTATGCTAGGGGTGACTGAGACGCACCACCTACCTGGGCCCCACCCAGTGCCCGGGGAGACGCAGGCAGGAAGACCAGGTCCAGATGGGGTGGATCCTGCAGGGAAGACAGACGTGTGGAAGGGCCACGGAGAGGCGGTGATGGGAGTCCCCAGCCAGACAATATTAACTGCATTCTGGCAGCTGTAGGGCTTGGAAGAGGGGTGACAGGGTCACAGTGGACACACCCTGGGGGGCCAAAGTGGAGGCACCGCTCAGAGTCCCGTCTAAATCATCAGGCAGGATGCCCCTCTGCTGCCGGGCCTTGGCCAGCGCCTCCCTGTCGCTTCCCTGACCTTCACTGGGGCCGAGTGAGGCCTGCCCAAGGGCAGCCCCATTAGCCCTCAGAAATTAAGGTGCATCTGCCTTCCGGTGGGCCCGGGTTAGTGTCTCCAAGGCAGCCCCCGCCCAGGACCTCTCTGTCTTTGCCCCCCGAAGCCTCCCAGCACACTTTGGCTGGCTGTCCCTGCCGCAGCCTCTCGCATCACAATGCCCCACGTGTCCACCCCAGAGGAGCGGCAATCTGGGCACTGGGGGCCTCTGGGGGGATCTGCCCGGGAGATCGAGGAGCCCCAAGGTGGGAGGGGTGCCCAGCAGAGGCAGGAGTGGAGGCCAGAGGGGCCCTGCCCTCCGCTACTCCCTTCCAGCCATCTGGGGGCCATCGGAGCACAGCGGCGGGGGGCCCAGGTGGGGAGGAGGAAGGAGGAGGTGGAGAGCCCCAGGCTAAAGGGAGTATAGAGCGGGGGTACCCCCAAACCTGAGAGGTCACCAGGACACGGGAGGTGGAGCAGGGAGGAAGAGGGCAGGGTGGGGGACGACAGCACTCTGCCAGGGGTGGTCTCCACAGCCCTGCAGCCCACACCCTCACAAACGGATTGATCTGTCTGGCTGACCCGTCGGGTGGCCACACTGAGTGTCCGCTGTCTGGTGACTGGGGAGTGATGCCTCGGGACTGGACCATGTGGGGGCTGTGGCTGGCCAGCTTGGGTGAGCTCAAAGAGGGGCACAGGTTGGGGGACAGTGCCCAGTGGGGTGGGGCGAGTGGAGGGGAGTGGGAGACAGGGGTGGCCGGTGGGGTGGGGATGGCCCAGAGTGGGCACTGGGGTAGACAGGGCCCCCGGCCCACGTGAGCATGAGGAGGGGTGCGGCATGAAGGGCCCCTGGGGCTGAGACTGGTGGGTAGGCTGCTGTCGGTGGCCAAGGCCCTGGGTGCCAGCTGGGAAAGCATGCTTGGCTGGCCCCGGGCTCCCAGGCAAGGCTCTGAACAGGGGATTATGACCTCAGGATGTCTGCCTTGGCCGGCATGGGGCACAGGGACCCCAGCTCAGAGTTCTGAGTCTCCCTGGAGGTTTGCTTGGTGGTAGCTGGACCCCAGGTGGCATGGCCCCCTCACTCCTGGGCCCCAGGACGTGAGCTGGGAAGGCAGAACCGCCTGACCATGACTACCTCTTCTTACCCGGTGGTGGCCCTGCAATGCTACACCTGCCATGGCCCACTAGCGAGTCCAGCTGCATCCCCATCACTACCGGCAAAGCCAGCGAAGCCATGTGCAAGACCACGTCCCACTCTCTGGGGACAGGTCAGCCAGTGTGGGTGGACAAGCGGGGCCCCTGCCACCACTGGCCAAGCCCGGAGCCCTCTCCTGCTCTCCCTTCCCCTTCCTCCTCTCTCCCTAAGCCCCCTTCCTCTAAAGGGAGCCAGTCCTCAGCCTCACGTGGGCGGCGGGGTCCCCGGAAAGTCATTGCCCATCAGCAAGGAGCCCCAGTGTGTCTCCGTGCATCCCTGCCATGGAGTAGGCACTCTGCCAGTGGTGGGTGGAAGAAGAAGGGGACACAGGATCATGGAGGGACTGTGACCAGGATGGCAACCCCAGAGTGGGCCCATGGGTGGCCCCAGGGCTGGGGCTTGCAGGCTGTGAAGGATGGGACTGCTGGGCCAGCCATGACGAATGGTACACCCGCACCGCACAGTGTACCCCTTCCTGGGGGAGTCCATGGTGACCAAGTCCCGCACTGGCAAGTGTGTCTCGGACATGGACGGCATCGGCCATGCCCGGCTTGCGTCCTGCTCAGCGCTGACCTGTGTGCTGTGGACGGGCCCCCGCTCTGGGTAGCCCCCGCAGCCTGGCCCCCACCCTCATGCTGCAGCCCAGCTCTGAAGGCCTTTGAGAAAGCCACTGCCACCCTCACCAGGCTCCTGGCCCCACTTCCTGGTTGGCCTGCTCCTGAGGCCTGGCTGCTGCATTCTGGCTCTGCCAGCCCGGGCCTGTCTGCCAGGCCCCTTTCTCGACCCCTCCATCTCTGGGCCCCTCTGCCCTGCCTGCCTCTGTCAGTCCATCTCTCCTCCATCTGCCTGCGATATGGTCATCATGATGGTCATCAGGCCTGGGACACCCACACAAACCAGGCAGGTGTCCTGAGGGCTACAGGCAGCCTGACTCGGGTTGGGCAGCATTGCATCCCCCAGAGCTGGGTCAGGGCTGGCTCTCTGAGGAGGGGGCATTAGGGACAGGCTTTGAATTATGGGGAGACTGGTTGGGTGGAGGACAGAGCGCAGGCCAGGACTGGGGGTCCAGGAGTGGCCTGGATCTGGGATTGCTCCATGAAGTACCTACTGGCAAGGCCTTACCCCATGGTCAGGCTGCATCATGTGGTGAAGACCAGCAGCCCAGGTGCCCGCACCCACCACCTGCCTTCTTCTGGCTCACCACACCACTCCCTGGGTGCCTGGGGCAGTTGGAACTCCAGTACAGGAGGGCCTTCAAGCCACCTCGGCCTCGGGCTGGCGCCACATTCCCCAGACCATCTTTCCTGCTGCTTTCCCTACAGCTCTCATCCTCGGAGGGCCGCCTGGCCGGCACTGGGCTTGAGATGCAGTGGCCACACGTGCATGCATGGTCCTACGAATGCACAGCAACGGGCCCAGCACTTAAGGGAGGACATGACCCAGTCCTCCTATCCAGCGTGGGGCCCCTCCCTGGGGTCACCTGAGGGAGGAGGGGGCAGGCGAGTGGCAGGAGATGGCATGCCCCCCCCTCTGCCCCCTGCTCCGGCAGCTTCTCCTGGACTGTTGGGTGAGTTGAGAGTCCTGGGAGGGGAGCACAGCACCTCCATCTCCATCTGAGCTGAGATGGGGCTGAGATGGGGCTCTCTGGACCCACAGTGCTGAGCCTAGAGAGCCCTCTCCATCAGCCATCACCCTCTTCAAGGACGTCCTGCTCCTAGATGCAGGGAGGCAGTGGCCAGGGCCTGAAGCAGGATGTCCTGGCGAGTGACTCACGGTCAGGTGCCCTCAGGGACACCCTGTGGTTTGGGAGAAGACACTGGTGG